AGACGACACTCGTATAGGATTCATTGGAGCGTGAATAAATATATAGATGAATGTTTGTGGTTCAGATCAAATTATATCATTCAGAAGCATATAAACATGACCGTTTTAGTGTATTTTCGAGTAAAGCTTTGATTTTCATCTAATAAATGTAGAAGAAAAACGAAAATTATAGTTATACTTTTTTTCACATTTTTCATAAAGAATATTTTGACCATAATATACGTCGGTTTATGAATTTTGTTCTCTTTTCGTTGTTTTGCGGTTATATATATATATATATATATATGAAAACACGTTTAATATTTTGTTTTTTTGCTTTTATTTTTGTATACGTAGATATGAATACTTGGTTCAGTGACGAACAATGGTTAGACGATTTTGCTCCTTGGCTAATGCCGACATCATTACAATTTATTCAGAATAACAATAATACACAATTTCAAGCATTCGGTGATTATGCTTATCCAACAATCGAACGATTAGTAGGAATTGTTTTTTTTTTTCTATTTTTCATTTAATTTAATTATTTTAACAGACACCAACCTATATGGATAATAGTATATTTGATTTTTATAAACTTTATTCTGATCGATCATCAATAATACTAAATAATTTTTCAAATGGAAATAAAATAAAACGAACATTTAATCGTGAATATCAAATATTCTATTGTTTGGGTAAAGGTGGTTTTGGTCAAGTATATGATGGTCAAAGACGAACTGATAATTCACCTGTTGTGGTTAAATTTTTACCAAAAGATCGTATACTTAATTGGGGAACATTTGAAGGCGTATGTAAACTCTTGTTGTTTTTTATTTTTAAATTTTAATGAAGATAAACAAGAAAAAAAAAGCAATCATTTTTTTGTTTTCGTTAGGAACGTGTACCATATGAAATTGAAATTCTCTGGCGTCTTCGAGGTGTATCCGGTGTTATAAAAATATTAGAACATTTTGAAGAAGTTGATCGTTTTATATTTATTATGGAAAAAATTCCAAATTCATGTACACTTTTTGATTTGGTCATGGAAACTTCTCCATTAGCTAATACTGAACTACTACGACATTTATTTCGAGAAATCATTCGTATTAATATAACATTACAAATGTATGGTGTTTGGCATCGAGATTGTAAACCAGAGAATATAATTTATTGTAAGAATGATCGTTCATTACGTGTCATCGATTTTGGTTCAGCTGCACCGGTACAATCAGAAGATTTTCATGAATTTCAAGTTCGATTATTTATAGTTTTATTTTTATTATAAATTTAGATTTAAATATTATTTTTTTTGTTTTTGTTTTAGGGTACTTTAGAAATAATGGTACCTGAATGGATACTTCAACGACGTTATAATGGTGAAAAAGCATGTGTATGGGCTTTGGGTGTTTGTCTTTATTTTCTAATTTATCAACAGTATCCATTTCGTTCAAAAACTGACATTATAAAAGGTCGATTAAATTTACCGTATTTAAGTTCTATCGATAAAGATATATATCATACAATGAAACAATGTATGAATGTTAATGAAAATCGACGTCCAAAATTAAATAATCTTCAATTTTTATCTTGGCTTAAAACTATATATTAGAATGATTATTAAACAACAAAAAAAAATCACAACTACTAATATCGATTTAAAAACAAATTTATTCATATAATAGATCAGATATACCATGGCAAGTCATTTGAAACGATTCGGGTTTTTCTTTTTGTCACTCGTGTATTATTTCGTAAATAACTATTCATTAACCTACTTTTGGAGATCAATGCACTTATTTTATATAAGTTAAACAACGATAAAAATCAAGAAAAACGTTTGATAATTAATGACAATGTATATTCATTCATATTTCTTTTTTTATTTGGATATGTTCATGAGATAGACATTTTATATGCTCCTCAATTCCTTTTTTTTTTCTTAATATTAATAGAAAAGAAAGATAAAAGTTTTTTTAAATAAAAGAAAAAGGACAGATGAAAAAGAAAATATGCTTTTCTTTTGTCATGCTTGAATAATAGTAATTTAAATTGACTATGAAATTGGTGTAACGATCGAGGCAAATTTGTTTGTTTTCAAGGTTATTTGATTAATAATATAGTTTAATAAATATAAACTATTAGATATTCTTGTATATACCAATGTTAAAATTAGTAAAACAATATTACGTAGAATATAAAATTGTAATAAATAATACTTAATAGGACATGTATTTTACTTTATAATTATTGTTTCACGAGACAATATGAAACGTATTATTTTGTAAGTATAAAAAGAAGAACAAGAATAAAACCGAAAAAAATTTGAAAGTAAGTTGATTGTCGGTTAATATTCTTGTCTGAAAAAAAAAGATCTTAGCATTCTGACAAGCAATGTTTCGTCAATAAGATTTTTTCGTTCTTGAGATTTCTGTGATCGAAGAAGTGTAGCCTTTGCTATACATGAATAAGAATGTTTTTTTTTCTTTGGTGCTATTCTATTTTGTTTTTAGCTTTGGACAAAAAAGAAAATCTCATAACATAACTGTTCTCTGTTTTGATAATGTCGCTTTTGGAAATCCTAAAAATCAATTTTACTTCGACTCATTGATTAGTCAACAAATAGTAGCTATTGACAGCCATTATGAAAGAAATGAAATAATAACGTACAGGTATGTATATATCACGCGCCATTCTAGGGTGGCTTAGTCCAAGATTAGCAAGTTTTTTTCAGGCCAATCTAACACTCGTCTAGATCAAACTAGTATAGAGTGATTAGTAACTCAAACCACCGCCGACGTACATTAGGTCGATGACATAAGGTAGTAAAAAATAAATTTCTTTATTCCTCCATGTTTCTACAACAAATAATGTTTTCTTGATACTTTGTCAAGCAGAAAACTGGATTATTTTTAAAAGCACATTGGTTGGTATTACATTCTCATTTATCTAAACAACAAACATGATTGATAGTGCCTCGGACATACAATTTCAATACAGTAATCATCGATATCTCATGTAAATCGGCCAATTCTACCACAAAAAAGTCCACCAAAACAATTATTGTCTATCATTCCATCAATAATTTGATGGTTTATATACTTATAACATAGATTACCTTTATACCGGAAATCATCTGTGTAACTGGAAAATTTTATTCGAGATTTACCTATGACATATACGTAGACATCACGTGACGTTTGTTTTGAAGAACAGACGAGAATTTGTTTTCTTTCCTGTCAAAAGAAGATTGTTAGAACGTCAAGACTGATTGAATAGGAAAAAGAAGAATCTAGAAAAGAATAGGATTAAGAACGTCGATTAGTGAAGTTGAGATAACAAACAAATACTATGTTAGTCACATTTCAAAATAAAAATTTATAATGCTGACGTGTATGGTTACTGATTAATTCATGTTATCTTTTATCAACGGACAAATAGCCATGAATAATGAGACAAATAAAATGAAATTAAAAACTTCTTTTGTAAGTTCGAAGAATCCTATCATTTCTAGATAGTTTTGACCTCAAAATATCATCATTCTCTCAGAATTCTCATTGAAATATATTACTCGAGAATTTCATAAAGTCTACAGATTTTCTCGTTTATTATCAAACTTGTAACACGATTTCATATATTAAGACGATACTTCTATATAAGTCCTTAAATTGAATAAAAATATATTAAAAAAACTTCAAGTTGTTACTCATATAAATGATAATCATTCTGATTTCATTTTAGTCTATTCATTGAGGTTTTTTTTGGTTTCTATTAATATTTTATTGAAAAAAAATACGAACTATCTAATAAAAATATGAACATACCAAAAAAAAAACAAGAAAAGCAATAGATTTCAATGATAAAAACCATAACGGATGGACCATCAATAATGAGACTATTTGTATTTCGTGGTTTTCTCAATCGACTTTCATTGTAAAAAAATTGTATTTAGTCTCAAACGGTTTCCCTTTCAATTCTTTTGCAAAGTTACATTAAAATCTTTATAATCTATGCTTCGAATATGATCAGATAATATTGCGCTTCTCCGCCTTGTATAACTTTCCGATAAGAAAATTCTAAGAATAAAATTCAAACAACAAGTTTTTTTATGTTAATAAACTGCACACATAGCAAGAGAGTAATATTTTATCCGGTCGCTTTTTTAAATTAGAAGTCTAGATTATAAATGTTCAATTTTGTAGATAATTGAAAGAGAAACCTAAGCACAAATTTCTACAATGAAAACTAGTCGAAAAAAAAAACACGAAATACAACTGCTGCTATTATTTTATGGCCTATCCATTAACAAATATCTAGGAGTTCTTACTTCTTCTCAAATGAGTCACAACATAATAATTTTGTCATTATTTAAATTTTTTATAAGAAATTTATTTGATTACTCTTTTAAATATCAAAGAAACAGACGAATATGCATTTTAATTCAGTTCAACAAAGTTTTCAATAAACTATTCATGTTGCACATTTGTTCATACTACCGTTGATTGTTGATCGACAGTTTTTTTTTTGCAGTTTGAACCATATGGATATACATATGTGACTATATTCATTGTCTATTTTAAATAAATTTTAATAAACTTCATTCTAGTTTTATTTTTCCCAGAAAAACAACAGAAGAAACAAACATACACTGATACATTCATTAAAAAACAAGCAAAAAAAATCATCACAATTCTGTTTCTCTCTTGATTTCTCTTTACAAATGTCACAAACGAACAACATAGAAAAGAAAACCATTTATCATCAGAAAGCAAATAAACGAAAAAAAAAAAAGAAAAGGAATGAAAAGAATTATCAATGAATACATAGATGTGAGAAACATAAAAGAAGAAAAAAAAGGAAAAAAATTAAACAATAACAAAAGAAGATGAAATAGGCTTACGCGAGTAAACCACATTGCGTGTAGATGAATGATATCAAGCACAAAATAGACAATATTAGCGGATTAATCACCGGTTATTGTGCGTCAGATATGAAATGAATAGATAGATAGATGATTATATCTAATATTCGTTTGTTTCGTCTTTAACAATAACTAAATTTTCTGATTCAAGTTCATTTTCAGTTTGTTCATCATTATTGTCATCTTCATTTGTATTATTATTATTGTTCGATGTTTGTGCTGTTATCAAAGGTTCCATAACGGTTTGCATAGCTTGTTGTAAAAATTTTGCAGTTGCTTCAGGATCAGTAGTTAAAGAAGGTGGAATTTGACCTTGTTGTTGTAACATAGGTGAAAGCCAAGCAGCTTGTGATGCTAAATAATAAGACCATGCCAATAAAAAACGATAATCTGGTGGAGCTGTTGGTATTTGTGAATTATTTGAAGATGATGTTGATGTTTGTGGAGGTGTTGAAGATACAACATTTGATGGACTAGGTGAAGATACATGTTGAATAGGACGTTCAATTGGTGATTCAATTTTAGTGTTTTGATTGTTTACTGATTTTCCATTACGTGTTGGAACTTTGACACGACGTGTATCAATGACTTTGAATTGATCTTTAAAAAAAAATAGATGAAAATATTTAATCAAAACAAAAAAAAAAATTTCTACTTTTTTCATCATCTCTTTTTGCTCGATTAACATAATATTGTGTTACATCTGCTTTATTCTGAATAAAATTACGTGCCATACCAGCATGTTTATATTTTATATGATAAGTTGCTGCATAACGTGTAAAAATTTCTTCACCACAATAACCACATCTGAAATATTATCAAATATTTTCTATTTGAATTATTTACTAATATTGAACATAGAAATTCTTTTAGATTTTCAATGTTAGTAGTTATTACATCTATTTTTTCGACTTGTAATTCAATGTATGAATTATTCATGTGACTTAGATAAAGAGAAACTGTTGAATGTAAACTTTCCGAGTCAAACATAGACTCAACTCTGAACTAGACTTGGATTAGACATACGATTTAATAAAACTAATGATAAAATTAATGCGTGCATGAATCGTCTGTTTGGTATCAATTACATGTTTGAGCAAAAGAAGAAAAAAAAAACAATTGGTCATCATTATAAACTGTCTCATATGTTAGTTGATTTTAAGATTGAAAATATGTCTCTTATGTCTGAATGAATTCAATAAAATCTAATGTATAGTCTTTCATTGTGCTTATATATATTATTTTTCTTCTCTTTTATAATCTGGTCAATCATAAAATTAATTCTTTTAAATTGATAGACACTCTATTGTGTGATGAAACATGAAAAGCTTATGATTGAATTTCATTCACACGTGCCATTTATTTGCTAGACTGTATTTGATTTTTTTCTTTTATTTTTATTTTTTATTGACAATAAATTGAATATTTTTTGTAAATATAATTGATTTAAATATATTTCTCAATAAAACAAATAATAATATAATGTCTATTCTCTTTTAAGTTGACTATTAAATGAACAAATGAAGTCGGATATTTATATTTGTTTTAAGAAAGAATAAGAAAACAAAATAATGATGATAATGAACAGACAGTTCATCGACTGTCATTTGTCAATAAAGAAATGTTTTAACAGAAGAATAAAAAAAAGAAAAAGAAAAAGAAAAAGAAAAAGAAAAAGAAAAAGATCAAAGTAACTCACTTATATGGCTTCTCATCTGTGTGTACAAATACGTGATCTTCCATGCTTGGTCGATGATTTGTCGTATATGAACACAATTTACATGCATACCTGATTATTTAAAATTTTTTATAAATGATGAAAACTTATAAGAATATTTACTTACTGTTTATCTGGTTCATATAATGAACCATAATACTGTTTAGGACGATTATAAACAAGAAGATATTCTGAATCATCTATAAAATAAAAATATAATCAAATCGTAAATATTTATTAATAAATTTACCATCACAATCTGATTCTTTTGTAGTTGTTGTTGATGATTCAATAATAGGTATTTGTTGTGATGAAAATTTTAATTTAAGTGATGGTTTAGCCATTGTTGGTGATGCATCATAAATATTTGTATCTGTTTGTTGTTGTTCATCATCATCAAATAAAATTGGTTCAAGATTTTCTGTTTCACTTGTATCATCACTTGCATGTGATGATTCATTTTCATCTTCACCTATTGTTTTTAATGATATAGCAACACCATTTATTGGTTCAGATTCACTATCATATTGATTTGATCGACGTGGTTTCTTTATTTGTGGTCCATCATTTGTTATTGTTGTTGGTGTTGTTGTTGTTGTTGTTGTTGTTGTTGTTGAAGTATTTGGATTTGATAAAGATGTTATTTCTGAACTATTTAAATCACGATAAAAATCTTGTTCACGTACACGATTTTCATTGATTTTAACTTCCATATTTGGATGACAAAGTTCAATATGTACCATAATTGTTGATTTTGTTGTCGATTTATGACCACAATATGCACATGCATATGGTGTTAAATCTGTATGACGATAAATATGATTTTGCATAAGTGATGTTGATGGTGCTTTATAATCACAATGTTTACATTGAAAACGAAGTGGTCGTTTATTTGATGGTATTGTTCCTGTTTGTTTAGATTTTTTTACATTTGGTATTTCTAATATACGTTTATTTGTTGTATGATTTTGTTTAGGTGATATCATAAATGATGATGATGATGTTGATGATGGTGGTGATAGTAAACTTGATAAATTTTGATTTTGTTTAAGAATAATTTCATTATTTATTGAAGATTTCTTTTTAAAACTTAAATCAAGTACACTATCATCGTTAGTATTATTGTTATCCTCATCATCTGTCAAAATTTGTGTCACTATCATGATCTAAAATTCTTTTTTGAAGAAAAAAAGAAACATTTAAAATAACAATTAGAGATCAATTATATATATATATATGATCAAGTGTATTTATAGAAAGACATATAAAATATAAAAGACCAATATCAACATGTTCTCCACCTACTTTTTTTTTTACTACTTACTATTTCTGCTGCTCTGTATACAACCCCATTTTTATTATATTCTTGCGCGTGGTTTGTTTACTCAGTTTAGCAAACAAGACCCGACGCCTTCTTCTCTTTCTTCTTCTTTTTTTCTACGACTCATAGTTTAGATTCTTACTGCTTCGTTTTTTCGAGAGATGAAAGAGGTCGATATATATATATATATATATATATATATGCACGTTTACTTCATCTCTTCTCTTCTTACTAGTAGTATACTGTTATATGTATAGATCAATTTCAAAGCATGCAAAAATTTTTAATCATCATTCAATGCTTATACTCACTTGATCAACGATATATTATGCGAGAGCTTTAAAAAGAAAGAAAGAAGAATAGATTTTAAAAAAAACGATGATGTTGATGTGCATATAATAGGTGCGCTGGCCAATGTTTGTATAGTGAATAATTTTTCGAAATGGTGGTATGAAATAAGTAAATATTGAACAATTGCTAATAAACATCATATAAAAGAACGGCTTACCTTCGAATTAGTATAAATGTATTTGTAATACAAATGAAGAAACTGTGAATTGTTTCTATTTGAGTCTATATCAGGTGTAAATAAAAACAGAGAAGGAGAGAGAGAGAGAGAGAGAGAGAAAGAAAGAAAAAGGAAAAGACAAGTAATGATGATGAGTAAACAAACTCTTAAAGACGATAATTGTCAAGAGTGCTTGACAAATGGATGCAAGAAAGCGAATGAGAAGGATGTTTACATAATATAATCAGACTTACAAATGTGAATAAAAACAAACTTCTTCTTCTTCTTTTTCTTTTTTTCCTTTCAACAAAAAAATGATGAAAGACTAGAGAAAAAAAAACGAATCATAAGAAAAGAAAAAGCAAAAAGAAAAATTGTTAATGAAAGGAAAATGGTTTTACTTAGTTATTTATAAATCGTGATGAAGGAACACAAAAATTCTAACATACGGGAAACAGCACCATCAGGTACTGTTTATTTTCACTAACACACACACACAGTAATGTGCGTGCGCAAACATTATCTAAATTTTTTTTTTTCATTAAAAAAAATTGTGCCAGACGGAATCTGAACATGATAAATTGTTTGAAAGATTTTATTTCAAAAAATTTTTTCTCGTTAGATATAGTAGAACTATAGAAAAGTTTTTATTTGTTTGAAATCATCTACCTATATTGTTTGTCGATCGAAAAGAAAAAAAAGCTGCTTTCATCTTTTTTTTTTCTTTTTTTTTTACGCGGTATTATTGTCACTCTAATCGAATATACATAAAAGAAAAAAGCGATATCTCTCTTCCTCTTACTCCGGTTTTTTTTTCTTCTATACCAACTTGAGAAGATTTTTTTTGTCGAAATATCCACTTTTTTCTTCTCTCTGTTTGATAAAGCTTTGTGTAAATTGTGTGCGTTTTCATCGAACGTCTCTCTCTCTCTCTGTGCTCTGATGCTGTTTGAAAAAAGCAGATGGCGTCTCTCCTGTATGCATATGTGTATGTGTGTTTACTTCTCTCTCTCTCTCTCCTCGTCATCGTCATTTAAATATTTTGGGTTAAGAATACGAATATTGAAGGGAAGTGTAATCCGTCGTTGACGACTGTGATCAAATTTCGAAGTGCAAGAACATAACGCACACTCGTCGGCAAATCCTCATTTTCTGTTTATTTTTATAAAAATTTGTTGCGCCAACAACTAAAAAGAATAATTGCTCTATCGTATGGATATAAAGAAAGAGCATGAGTGAGTGAGTTATTTGAGAACTTGTCATCCGTTGCGCGTGCACATACAATTGTTCTGTCAGTCAGGGATTTACATTGGCTGATAAGAGAACAAAAAGAAAAATCGACAACCATGATTTAACTTTGTCGATAAGTAAAACAAAAAAAAAAAAAAAAAAAAAAAAAAGAAATGAATGACAAAAAGAGACAGAGAGAGAAAGAGAGAAAATCTAAGATCAAGTAAGTATAAATGTTGTGTATTTTAAATGATATCAATCATAATTTGTCAGAAGAATAACATATGATATAGCTTAAATATTCTTACCTCATAAATAGTATTAATTCATCTCATTACAACACATCAATTTCAAACATCAGTAAAATGAATGAAGTTGTCGGGTGACGTGTGTATACATTGACATTATATTAGAGCCTTTGCTTGCTCTTTCTCTCTTTAGCAAAGAAAAGACTCAAACATACACACACACAAAATCAAACAACTCTTTCTCTCTTTTCAAAAAAATAAAAATGAAGAGATCGGATGATCACTACCACAACCATTTGCACTTATAGTAGGCGCTTATGATGTCATTCAATGTACACATATATATATAGGCGGTTGACACAATAAAATGGTCTTTTAGACTATAATGTCTGTTGTTATCAGTGTATAGAGCATAACGACGCTGTTTTTTCCTGTTTACTTGTATAGCTACCTCAGTGCCTGTAAATAAACGGGGCGGCAGAGACACACATTAAACCGAACGACAAAAAAAAACGAGAAAGTGTACATATGGCGATAAAAAAGAAAAAACCTAAAATAAGTGAAAGAGAGACGAAAGAAATAAAAGCCAAACAAAAAGGAGAAGAAAGAAGCGTTAAAGAGTAATGAAACGAATGTCGAACATTTGCAATACGTTTGATCGAGACCTTAGGTCATTTTTTTTTGTTTTTTGATAGAATAACTAATATGATTTGTATCAATCGTTTTGATTGGGGATATTTAAAGATATATTGTACTTCATTGAAGTTGAAATTCAAAGATAAGCTTGTTTGATACTTCACGAGTGTACGTTAACCGATGAGAGACAAAGCATTGAATAGGAATGAATTTATTTTATTGATTCTTTACAATAAAAAAAGAAAACTAAGTATCATAAGTAATTCATTTTGATTAACAAAAAAGAAAGAACATTTCATAGAAATAAAATAATTAGATTTCAATTAGTTGATATAAATTTTATTTAGTATGAATTTATTAGTTTTTTTAAATGATTCATACGATAATCATTATACGGTATAATAAATTATCGATTATATTTGTTTGATATCGGTTAAAAAAAAAATCGAATTTTTTTTTGCATGAATAGATTTTTCATCAGTATACACATAGCTACACAATTTTGTTGAGTTTTATTTATTATGATTATTTAATGTATTTTTCTTTAGTTTACCTACGTTTTAAAGGACAACCATTATATCATAAATTAATTGAAACTAATTCTAGTTTATTTATTTATTTTATTATGTTTATTCTATAAGAAAAAACAAGTATTTGTATCTTTCATAAATGTGTTTTTTTCCTTTTCAAATTCTACAGTGCGTAAGTGTTATACGATTGATTAGACACAAGTGGGATCGGCTTCTTCTTTTGGTTCTAATAAAAAAAAAAGGAAAAACTTTGAATCTAGTTTTGGATAAAACAAAACTATTGCTAAGAGAGAGAGGGAGAGAGAACTTGAAATCTATTACATTGCTATTCGTATATAGTCATTCTTTAGAACTCTTATAGATATTCATGTAATCGACTGTCTTGATTTCGGTCCTATTAATGGCCACCACTCTAAAATGTAAATTTAATTAACATGCGCTTGGCTTGTTTACGCATAGTAAAATTAAAATTTTTTCAAGTTTGTTTTTCTTTTCTCATAAGAGATTTATTTTTGACTATGGAATATTGTTGATAGAAGCATAAGAATTCGTCAAATATTTCTTTTTTATTTACAAGATTCTATATGTTGTAAGTTTTCATAGATTTTTATGAAAATTGTTGTTAACTGATGATTTAAAATGGAAAATCTTTTCATGTTTTTTCGATAATTATGATATAACATAATAATTTATCTTGATATAATGAAATCAATGAAAATGAATTGAAGTTTTTTTTTCCGTATGATATGTGTTTTTATTGAGATATAATATAATAAATTTTCAAAAGTAATTTTTCATGTTAAAAAAATTTTTATTGACTCAAACAATTTTCTAAATCATCTAATTTTTTCTTCATATCTCTATATGAAGGAATCTATTTCTTTATTATTACATACTGATAGACTAACTTAATCATTTCGAGTTTAATCTTCTTCTATTGAAGATTAGTATTTGTATACTGAAATATTTTATAAAAACCTGTTCTAATAATACGTATTATTATAATATACAGATATATCAATCATTTAGATAAATCATAAGATCATTTATTAATATTATTTTTAGTATTTGTTAAATTAAAACTTGATTGAAGATTATCATTTGAATCATTGTCATCGGTTAAACTAAATTTTTATTTGAGAAATATTTAAGAGACATACGTGAATTAATATTCAAGGCTTTGATGATTATGATTAATCTACGTGTTTGACGCAAGTGTATGTGTTATTTAATCTTTTTCAATTTGATTTATTTTCTGTCGTAAACGAGGACAAAAAAAAAAGGGAGACTGAAGACAATTATTTGACAAAGATAAGAAAATATGCTGTTTTTTTTTGTTAGATATTATTAAATGATAAAATATTTATTTGGTATTATTGAAAAATAAAACAGCAAAATATATTTAAACACCGAGATTTGCCACTCCAGCACGAGATGCACGAGGTTCTAATTGTAATGAAAGACCATAACATTGATCTTCAGATAATAATCGGGATGAATTTAATAAATAAGCACATACACGTGGATTATGTTTAATTTTAAATGGTGTTGATTGAAAACGACGTACTTCACTGATGATATGTGTTTTCTAAATAAAAATATCAAAGTAAAATATTTGACTATAATTATATCAAAAGATGCGATAGTGAGGGATCAGAGTTCTAGACATATTACTAAACCTGCCTACGTGTGATAAATAGGTCAGACTGTCTGGTCTATGTATGTTTTTCTGTGATATGAAAGTTTTATCACATAAATTATATGTATTCCGAGCAAATATATGTAACATAAGTTTAAATATAGCATTTAAAAAAGATGAATACTATGGGTTGCAACTAATCCTAAATTTTCTGATTTGTTCTAGTAGTTTTAGCGAATAATCATTTTTTTCAATTTTTGGTACTCTAATGAAAGATATGTATAAATAATCAAATTCATTACTATTCTCGAAAGGTTGTTGACATAAAGTTGTATATATCATTTACTGGCTCGATGTTTTTTGCCAAAACTAGTTAATTTAGCTGAAATTGAACGGTTTTTTTTCTCCTGTAAATTTAAAAGTTACTAAACGTCGTTTCTATCTCGATTGTAATACTGTAAACGACATTTTTGTCTATCAGATTTATTCAAAATGTTTTTGAATAAAAGCACGATTTTTTTTTCTCAATTTTACTATCTTTCTATTTCTTTATTTTCCTATTCATTAATATTTAATCTACAGTAAAATTTTTCATTGTAAACCTCTCCGTAATGTGAAAATCTCATTAAAGTGAACAGTCTAAATTTTCACCGAACGATATTTGCTTGAAATCAATCGTTTCTTAGTGAAGAGTAAAAACTTTTTTTTTTGACTTTCATCAACTGAAAAAATTCGTTCTGAAGTGAATGTTTTTTTTTTATTGTTCAACTTCTATTCTTACATGGTTTCGTGCATACGTAAGAAGGAAACATCTCCGTACAGTGACCATTTTTAAATATTCCGTAGGATGTTAATATTAGAGAGTTTTTAATATAGTCAAGATTAGAGATGCAAATGTGACAGTTCACCGGTACACAGTAATACTAGTGGCAGCAATCTTATGTATATATAGACTAACGATACATGCATGGATAAAACTATGGTAGTCTTGAACCGGTTTTTGACTTTTTTTTTGGGATCGGGAAGATCATTTCAATAAAATAGCTGAATTTTATAAAAAATAGACTAAAGATTTTCGAGGTCGAGGAATCCAAATCTACAAGAAGTTTGTCAAAATTCTCGAGTTCGGTTTTCTCATTCGAGAATGGCTTAGTTATGTTTCATAAGATTCAGCTATTTTCTTGAAATAGACCTCCCACGACAGAAAAAATCAAAATAAATCTAAGATCACCGTAGTTTTATCGTGTATTCATCGTTATTCTATTCGTACACGTCTAGACGAGTGCAACACTCTACCTAAGACCAACGCATCAGCGTACAGTGACATCGATGATTATCGTCATCGTTGCACTCCTAGTCAAGATTTGCTTACACTATTACGAACTATAGTTTCGGCATTGAACATGTTTGTATTTATTATAAACGTTTGCTTCCATTTTAAGATTGCGAAGAAAACAAAAACAAATTATTCTATGAAAACAATTCATTAAAAACATTTTGAATAATTATTTTCCTTAAAGAATACTTCTATGTTGAATATATAGTTCTCGTGGATTTTGTTTAATATCAAAGAAAACTTAGAATTATCGTTTGAGATACTTTACCATTCGCATTTTTGAAAAATTGATTAATTTTTTTTCTGATATATCTTGTGAACTTTCTTCAATAAATGTTAAATCTGATAAATATAAACCAAGATAAGGTATGCATGGTGGATCAACTCTATTTGAAGAAAAAAAAAAATTCTTATTCTTTTTTTTGTTTTGAAATTTCATTTTTCGACTATCGTTGGTTTCTTTTTTTACTTTGTTAATGTATCACGTAAATTTTTAAATTTTCCATCTGAATGAACAAGAATTTGAAGTTTATTAATAACATGTTTACTCTGTTTTGATGTACGATCCCATGTTTGTTTTAAACGATAAATTGAACTATTAACAAAAGCAGCCATTATTTGAAGAACACCATTAAAATTTCTTAAATAACGACATATATCAGCAACAGTACCTCAAAATAATTAAAAATATTCTTTCAAAAGAAATCAAAATAGACTCAAGATTATACCCCATTTTTCAATACATTGAATACGACCATTAATCGTTGGTTGTGATAAAATTTCTGTTATAACAAGACGACACATCTATTTAGAATAAATAATATTTTTTTGTTATTTTCGAAAGAATTTTTTATTTATTTACTTCATTAAATCGTCGAGATATAAGTGCAACATTCGGTGCTAAATCATCACGACCAGCTTTCATCCAACCTTGTAAAAGTAATTCTCTAACAAAGAGAAATATTTATTCAATAAATAAAAAATGATCTTTTGTGTTTTCTTGATTGCCGATATTTTTCCTTAATTGAAGGAAAACAAAAGTATTCGCAAAGTAGAATCGGAAGGAGAGTGGAAAGAAAACAATGTTCACATTATGAAAATTAGCAAAAATAAATCTAGTAAGATGATTAGTATAGATGCAAATGGCTTCAAAAATTGATCTTACCGAATTTGTAAGATCAATTTTTGAAGCCACTGTAGTTCGATTTTCTTAAATTAACAGATTACATTCTTTGTACATGTATATTGAAGATGCTTTATTTCTTCCCTAATTTTTGAAGTTTATTTGATCTCGTTGTCATGTCAGAAGTGCTGATTCGATTTATATAATAAATTTCTCTATTCTCTATTTAGATGATCTTTTGAATCTTTATAGTTATCAAAAAGCTGTTAGCGCAATCCATATAGGATTAAAATGTGAACCACGATATAGCTGTTATTGTTAATCACAAGAAGTTTATTTTATTCTACCTATTTGAGTACACATTTCTTCATCATTCTTTAATTGAATCATTCAGAAGTGCAATAAGGAAGTAGCTCATATATTTATAACGAGACATTATTGATTTACAGTTTTTGATTGTATATCCACAACGTCCGTCAGTCTCTGTGATGGAAGCTGGAGGAGGCATTTCTAACGTGCCTGTGACGCTTCTCTGGTAATGGTTATTATTATCTGTGGGAAGGCAGATGAAGATTTCTGCCATATATACTTTCAGCACTCCTTCTTAGATCGTGTTTGACAAAGAGATTGTGTTCTCTTTGTTATCAATATATCAAAGTATTCGATAGAACTGATAGGGATGATCTTGATTATGAATCTAATAAAAATTAGATCTTCAATTATGTTTTCAATAATGATTTTAATTTTCTTCACATAATAAATGTTGTCTAGATACTACAATGTAGTCATTTTAGTCTCTCTCCCTCCCGATTCTCCTTTGCGGACATCGGTCAAAAGTGTCTGCAATCAGTATATGATTGTTTCTTCATCTTACTCGCTATCTAATGCACAAAATAATTTATGATCGATAAATGTCATTTGTTCAGCTAAATCAGAAACAGCTATTTGTTCAAATGTTGCATTTGGAACCTTAAAAGAAATTTTGAAAAAAAGATATAGCTTAAGAAAAAAATCTATACTTGTGTTGGATTAAGAATTAAACGTAATTGTTCATTATTTTCGTCAGCTTCATTGGTTTCTAATTGTTTTATAATTCCAACAGCTGCTTTATGCTCAGCCGCAATTAAATGACCATTTAATAACATATCTTGTAAAAGTTCAAGTACCATCTTCGATTTAATAAATTAAAAAATATAAATTTGTATTGATATAAATAATGAACTTACTTCTTTTAATTTTGGATTTCTATGAAAATCCTATTTGAAAAAAAAATTGAAAAGATTAAATTATTTATCAAATTATAAAAAAATTATCGATTGAGGAACTGATAGAACAGTATAAATTGCGAAAAATAATAGAGTAGCTATCATTTACTAGACTAAAGAGTACAAAAATCGTAAAGTATACTGATATATAATTTCGTACTTTTATACGAGTAATACAACAATTCTTAAGAACAATCTATAGAATTTTTATAATCATGATTCTATTCATAGAGAGTTAAAAATATATGCACGTAACTGATCTGTTGTTTTATGTAACGTTGAGGTTAAAGGGGCGGTGGCTTTCCAAAGATTGAATTGGCTCCCCTGGAGTTTGTGGTTATTACAGCTCATACTATGTGTCTGCCCTCTTACAATTTTAAATTGTCTCTCCGAAAGAGAAAACTTGAATAAAATACTGAATTGATCTTGATTTTTCTGTGAAATCGATGTTCTTTAGTAAAACGAATTAATACTATCTATATTTCTTTTCTCTCTCAATTGTTTATATATATTTTTTTCTAAACATTTTCTATCCTTTATTATTCTTATGAATGCTTGTCAAACGTTTTGTAAGACTGACAAGACGAATAAATACATTTTATATAGACAAGAGAATATTCTTGATTAATCTTTGTTAAGTTCTATAGTCATCATGCACTATCAATATATGCATATCTTTATTTTGCGAACATAATAGAGATTAATAATCAATATTATCCTCCTGTACACAGATATTCATATAGATTAACGAAAATTTTCTCTTAATAATTTCGATATAAACAAATCTTATGTATTATTAAAGCAAAATTAGAAGTACAATCTCTACAAGTATCTATTTGACTTTCCAAAACTAGATGATTTATTGAAAAAAAAACCCGAAGGTTGTTTTTTTCGTTGAACATAACTGACATATATCATTTTTACATTATTGTCTTGAAATATCCTTCTATAAAGTATTTACTATTTTTATTGTGATAAAAAAAAGTTAGATGTAATATATATTTTAAAACTAATTATTTCAGATTTACTTATGGACAAAATCATTCGTTAGCGATGTGACTTCGCAAAATTAAAACAAATGTATCTCGAGATAATGAACTTTATTAAAACTAACTTTTTTATATTACATATATGTCGAGTCATTCTAGATACTCTGAAAAAATCAGTGCTAGAGAACTTTTTTCAGAGAAATTATCATTAGAAAAATTAGCATTGGTGACGTGACACAAAAAAAAAGAACATAGACTTTCACTTCATGCATTTTAGTTTAAAAGTAGCTTCGAATTGAGGTAGTATTTTTTGAAAGTAAGAAGTGCATTTTGTAGAAAACTTCTGAAGCTACAAAATCTTTATTCGAATTTTAACTTCTTCATAGATGCAGTTCGTGTCGTCGAGTTTTTTGGATCTTTTTTTCCGTATGTAATACTAAAAGAACTTATTCAGAAAAATATATTAGTACGATCCGTATAGGATTAAAATACAAAACACGATGTAGTTAATTTTGCTAAGGATAGAGAGATTGCTATTTCCTATCTATCTATTTTGGGACACATATCTTCACCATCTTTTCACTTAATCCTCCAGATATGCAATAAGGAAATAATTCATATATTAGAACGAGACGTTATTGATTTATGGTGTTTGATCGTATATCAACAACGTCGGTCAGTCTGTGACGGAAAAGGGAGACATTGCTAAGGCGTCTGTTACGGTCGGTGAGGAGGAGGTCCAAATTTCAACCCTATACACTTCAACGTTCCTTTTAGATTGTTCCTTGCAAAGAATCAAAGTTAAATGAAACGTAGGTATGTTTTGTTTTGCTTGCAATGACCCATATATAGACTATGAGAAAAGAAATGTCTTATTTGGAAAATGATCTCATCTTTTTTCTTTTTGACACATTTAACAATTATATAGAACAACAACAAGAAGCAAGTTCATTCTTACTAAAGGATGTTTTGTAAGCCAATGTCTTAAAATATTTAAAACTCTCATTGTTGCAGCTGTATTAACAATCGTAGATTCATTAGTTTTTTGTTCTTTTGAAGTTGATAGAAGAGGATTAGTACTTGTTATTGATTGCGGAGATGCTAAACTACTACCTAATATAATTCAATTATTATTAAAAAAAAAAAAAGTTCAATAATATTTAAATATAATTCTCTACCTGGAGTACTACCTAATCTTTCATTTCGTAGAACTTTAGGGGATTCACCTGATATAGCAACAGCAAATGCTTGTGTTGCAGCAACTGAACTTATACGACGACGAGATGATCGTGATGATGTTACAACAACACCAGGTAAGACTTTTTTAAATGAACTTTCAGCTGCATTACGTATACTTTGACGTGGTGATGCAAGAACTTCACTTAAACGTTTAGCTAAATAAAATGTAATTCAATAAAAAAAAATAATATCCAATCTGTAAATATGTGTGTGTATGTTTTTTCTTACAAAGCCAAATAACATTTTGTGATGTTGTTTGATTTGCTGGCATATTATTTGTTGTTATACTTGAATCAATTCTTGGTCGTTGTTGTATTGTTAGGCTATCACTTTTGTTAATGTCTAAATTTTTTTCTTCTTCCTATATGTATATATGAAATAAGATATATATCAAAAATTTTAACAAAATCAAAATATACTTTATGTGTAGGAATTATTTGATCAGTATCAGAAAAACGTATACGTGTTGTACTTTGTTGTGATGAACGTTCAATATCTAAGCGAGCTTCACTGGATATGTCCGATGATGGAAAATCAAAGAGTTTTTCTAATGAATCAAAATCACTTTTGGGTGTTTTAATATTTGATTCTTCATTATTTATTGATGATATTTTAAGATCTTGTTGTTGTTGACTATCACGACTTAATGCATCAACATCAGAAAATGTTTCTGATGATGCAAGTGGTGCTAATGGACGATGTGATGTATCATTTAGTTCATCAACATCCATGGATGGAATTGATGGAAGTATAACAATTGTGTCATGCGGTTTTATTGAACATTCTAACAGGAATACAATTATTTGTTATAGAAATTTTTTTAGATATAAGACTATGATTTTTATAAAGTTTGTTGCAATGAAAGACTGAGTTCATAATATTTTGGATAAGTCTCGAAATAAACATTTTGATTATGAATACTCTATTTATGAAAGACGCATGTGATGAAGTTCTGTTGTCTTAAATTTATTATACTTGATTGTTAGAACACTAAACTTTAATTTAGAAAACTAACATATATGTATGTGTTTCTCGACGAAGGTATAATTGATTCGTCTGAAATTTTTATTTCAGATAAAGAATTTAAAATAAGAAGGCATGTATCTGAGGAGAAAAGATTTAAACAAGGTTTTTGTGGGTCTTTCATAGGGCTGCATCTGATCACATTATGAACCTCATCGAATTTTATCTGATTGGACTGAAAACTCTTATTCATTGACTATATATTTGTATAAATGATTCAAACAGTACATTTAGTCTTTTTTATGAAACACGATCTAAAAGGAATATCGAAATATTGGGGTAAAAATTTGGACTCCCCACAAGCTGTGACAGACATTGTTGATATATAATCAAAGACCGTATATCAATAACGTCTCGCACTAATATAAAAACTACTTCCTTGTTACATTTGTGAGCGACTAAGAGGACTCCTTTCCTATATTTCTCGAGAACAGTTTGGCAGAAGTTTTTAAAACTTTCAATGTACGTAGATCTTGATAAGTAGAATAAAAGATGTCATAGACTCAGAATTCCCAACTGTTTTCTTCAGGAAGACCTCGGAAGACCCAAGGGCCAAAAATGACCTGAAGTTTTCCCCATTGACAAACGAGTATACTACGTTGTTTGGGGCTAAAACTTTTTTGTGCGACTACTAGGAACAAATCTGGTTGCGTGTTCGTTTTTTTCTTTGAAAAATACTGTTTCTGAGGCTTAGGAGAAGCAAAACACTGGAGGCACCATAAAAAAGCCATTAAAAAAATCCTTTTTTTGCGGATGGTGTTAATTTTGTAAAACGTGCCAAAATTCATAGGTACAATATTTTCAAGAGAAAAAAAAACACCCACCCCAATTGGATCGAAGTACTCATGGAAAAAGTTTAAGTCCAATCGATCGTACCGTTTAGAAGGAATAGGGAGGAAAACTTTAATTTTTTGTTTAAAAATCTGGTTTTGAGAAAAACGCAAAGTTGCACTTCTTGGCTTTTTGTTCAAATCCACATACTAAACACAGAAAATTAAAAAAACTAAAAATTTTGAGTCGGGAAAGGAGAGTTCCGTTAAGTAAAAGGATAGTGAAGAAATATGTCGCAAAATAGATAACAATCTCTTGTGATTAGCAACAACAGTTATATCATATTTCACATTTTAATCTCGCAGGATTGTGTTAGCAATTTTTTAAAATGAACTCACTTTTGTCAACAATTTTCTGAAGTGTTGTTGTTGTTGTTGTTGTTATTGTTGTTGTTTCATTTTGTTCAATACCTATGAGAATAGTCGAGTGTCTTAGAAAAATTTCTTATTTTAAATTTTTTACTTAATCCTCGACGAAATGTGCCCGTATGTGAATGTCTCCTTAAATCACGTTCTTGTTCTTTACTTTGTGTATTGGATATGTCAAGAACTAATATATATAAAAATAAATTTATTGAATTTTAAAATTCATTAAACAAACCTGTTGATATTCGTCGTGTTAATTCATTCTCATTTTCATTTATTTTAATTTGTTTCCCTCTTAGAACAAAAAAAAAGACAAAATTTGATTCAAGAAGTTTTTTTTTCCAAATATATCATACTTATTTTGTTCATCTGATTTTTGTATATTTGTTCCATCTATTTCATTTGTATGATCAAGTGATGTATGTGGTGATGATTTATAGAGTCTTATTAATGTATCCATAACTGAATAAGCATCAGTATAAAGTCTATATGTTAATAGAAATGTATTTAAAAAATCAATTGATAAAAAACGTAAATCTGTTAAACGTTCATGTAAACGTTCAACTGTTGCATGACGAATCTTAAAAAGAACAGAAACGAAAAAATATTATTTATCATAGAAAGAAATATTCATTTTCTTCTACCTGTGGTATTTTACATGAATCAAGTGTTTTAGAATATTTTATTTCTGAATCATCTTTATATAATTTCGCATCAAATCTAAATAAAACAAAAAACAAAAAGAATCAAATTTCAGAAAAATAAATTTTCGTTTTTCTTTTACTTGACAGATTCAGGAGCAATAACAGATGATTGATTACGAAATGTTCCTGAAAGTAAATTTGTATAACGAAGATTTTGTAAACATTGTGCTATATCACTACACCATTCTGATTTATGATTTTCATCATTAGCAACAAGTGTTGTCGAATAAGATGGTTGATCACGTGGTTCAACAATTAAACGAAATAAACGATTTATATAAGCATCCAATTCAACATTTTTATTATCTGTTATATTAGAATTTGTATCATCACTTGTATCTTCTTCTGTAACTGATGGTAAGAAACATTGTGGATCAGTATTTATATCATCAACAAGTGTTACATCAACTAATGGAATAACACCACAACCCTAAGAATATATTCATGTTTATATGATTAAAAAAATATCTAGTAAAAAAAAGAAAATAAATATATACTTTAACAAGATGTAATTTTCCATTTGAAGCTCGTGTTGTTATAACAACATGATTTGTAAAAAGATAACATTGAACAACCATTTCATTTCGACGTATTTCTTTTGCAGATAATCGTTGATTAAAAACTTGTTTATTTCTATCACCAGTCCATAATACAAGACCACCTAATAAAAAAAAAAATTTTAGCTATGGCGCTAGGACAGATCGTCACAGTCCTTGGGACGATGTGTCCGATCATCATGCATTTAACTTCATTATTCAAAAAAACAACTGCTCTATTTTTACCTTGTCGACAAAGTACTTGATTAACATCTAATAATACATCACATCCTTCAGCAATTGATCGTTCAATAGCTAAATTAGCTCTTATATGTTCTGTTTCTGATACTTCATCATGCATAATCTAATTATATAAAAAAAAAAAACAAGATTTATTTAGTAGATTTTCAAAATCAAGTTTTTTTTTACTTTTGAAAGTTCTTCAAGTTTATTTTTTGCTTGTTCAAGTTGTTCTCGTTCAACGTGTGCATGTGGTGTATGTGATAAACAATTTGCAAGTGTTATTATATAATAAGGAATCTATTATTTAAAAAAAAAAAAAAAAAAAAACAATCAAATATTAATAATTTTAGTTTTTCATATTATATAACAAACTCGATTCATAGGTAAAACTAATAGTGTTTCAAGTGTTAATCCTTCACATGCTGCTTTTTGTTCGCATCGTTCAAGAAATTTATTAAAATCTGGATTACTTAATTTACATTCGACTAAATTCTAAATAAGTAAAAATTAAAATGAAAATGCTTTCGTTTCTTTGTTTTTTTTTTGTACTTGTAAACTATAATGATGATTTCGAACATATTCTAAATAAATATGTAACATCGATATAAACATATCAAATAAATCACCTGCAAAAAAAGAAATTTATACAAGAAAAATTCTCTAGAATTTTTTTTTTTACATACCGGTATAAAATGTTGGCCATTGTTCTAACTTTTTTGATAATCCTTTATAAAAAATTTGATGAAGAAAAAGAATTATTTCACTAGAAAATTAATTTTCTTTTGTATATTTAATTTATAAGATATATAAGAAAAAACCTATTCAAAAATATTGAATTAACATCTTCATGTGTAATTGATGGTTTTTTTGAACTTGCAGCTAAAAATAACAGTACAAGTTTCTTTTTTTTTTTGTATTATTATTTAGTATCTTTTTTTTTACCCATTCGAAACGGTCGAACATAATTTGCAACAAGAATTTCTAATTGATGAACATATTCTCGTTCACTTTCAACCAAATTAAATACAATATTATTACGTTTACGCATCATTTCAGCATGTGGAGAACTAAATAAACAAATATTTAAATTATGAAATTTGTTTTGTTTTTTGTTGTGAACTATATTAATGAAGTCATCTAATATATAATCTTGAAATTACAAAGAAAATTATTTTTTTAATTTATAATTTGAACAAATATATTCCTTTTATTATAATAAATAACTATGTTGTAAGTATTAATAATACCGTATATATTCTTCAACAATACGTTTCCATCTTTGTCGATATAACCAACCACGACAAAGACTTTGAACTTTTTTTATTTTACGTAATTCGTTTGAATCTTCTTCAGCTATACTTTTTGTACGTAAAAGATGATGTTGACGACGATAACGAGATAACTAAAAATATTATTTCATATAAATAAATGATTTATTTTTGTTTTTTGTTTTTATTTACTTCACGACGTAATTCTCGAACTTCAGTTGAAAGTTCTTCAACTTGTTGTAAATATTGATATTTTGTTTTAGCTTCACTTTCATAAACTTGTGATAAATGAAGATATTTTTTTTCAAGTTCTTCTTTTAATGATACTAATCGATTATAACTGAAATATATATTTGAATATGTATATATTATTATTATTATTATAAATTTAACCTGCATGTTTGTATACATTCAATCCATACTTGACAATCAGTTTCTGATTCAGCAGCAAATTCAGTTGCATTTCGACCATCACGTACATAAGATATTGAAAAACAATTCTAAGAAATTAGAAGAATAAAGAAATCAAATTGATAGGTTTAATATCAATCTATAGCATTCAAAAACGAGATCAACTATAAATAACAATGCAATAAAAAATTTCAATGTATCTCCCATTTTGTATAAGTATTGAGTCTAAATTTATAGTGAATTTATCAGTTGAAAATATTCCCTTGTAGAGATATTTGTTTTCATCTTAAGCACATCAATATTAGAAATATTGGTTTTTTTTTAATGTTTGTGATAAAATTAGTCTGCGAATAGACAAAATATCTTAAATTCATGAGAATTTACTGTTGGAAACAAAATTTTCGAATATCTTTCACATAAGATTTTTTTTGAAAAATCTTAGAAAAGACTACAAATCTTTTTTGAAATCATTGATGTTATTTTTATAAATAAGAACATTGAACATTCCTAAATCATTATTTAAAAAACAAAATTTAGTCTAGTTAATTTATAAAGAATTGAAGATATAAATAAATTTTGTATCGTATTACTCTACGTGACTAAGGTTTCATATTAAAATTAATTTTCTATTTCATCAGTAGAAGTCATATCAATTCTCTAAACTCGAGTATTAAACCTTATAACTTTAAAGATAACAATAGACATATTTATTTGTCAATATCAATTATGAGAAAAGAAAATAGAGTGTTAAATATCTGTGTTTGTTTTTAATTCATTCTTGGTATATGTATTATCATCTTACAATAAGTATTTTCTTATCATAATACAAAAATATTGCTAATATGATACTTCAGATTTCAATATTATTAATCCTCCTTTAGTATGATACTTACACTACAACTTTAAATAAATTAGAGCAATATATCAGTCACTGTTTTGTCTAGCAGGTAGATCATGCTATTCTAACAATCGAGTTGGCCCTCCTACAGTCAATCAGTAGTATACCACGTACTGTTTATGAGTGTGGCTAAAAATAGATGTTCGTCTTCCGGAGAAGAAAGTCTAGGTAGAACATAAATATCGACGCATTTCAACCAAGGTGACGTTAACTCAAGTAGATATGAAATTTTCTTATTCTATTAATTATTTTGAAAGCTACTATGTCTGCGCCGCAATTTTTTTTTTCTTCAATTATATGTAGTAAACTATGCAAAAGATTTTTTAGTTATTGAATATTAAATAGTATGAATGACATTTATGTTTTACTTTTAGCGTTAACAAAGAAAAAAATGGGAAACATTTAAAAATTCTACTGTTATAATGATTTTCAAAAATCTTATTTTTCTTTTTAAAATACAATCTTTTTATTTCTTAATATTTAAAACTTACTAATTTTTCTCCATCTTTACTATTTTTGGCTGGTGATCTTGATGCATAACAACTTTCAAGAAAATAAACACCTTGTGGTTTAGATGAATTAACATTATCATAATAAAAAAGTAAATTTTGATATAAAACAAACCACTTTAATTGCCATTTATTTGGTGATGATGATGGATCAGATCCACCACGTCTTGATAAATATCCACATTCACGATTTTCTAATCGTGCTTTTATTGCTAAATTTAGTAAATGATCTTCATTTACTTTAAATGATGTACGTGCCATTAAAATAGTTGGTAAATTTTTTAATGGTGACCAAGAATCAGATGATGCCATGCGTGTACGAGTATTATATGTTGTTTGTTGAGAATTATTATTATTTTGGGACTGCATGAATATTAATGATAAAAGCATAAGAATAATAAAATTAATTGAGAAAAATAATTAATGAACATAATTATTATTATTTAATGAATATATCTAAAGTAAAATAAATATAATAAATAAATTTCAATTGTGTGTGTGTGTGTGTGTGTATAGTTTTTTTTTATAATAATAATAATAATAATAAATTTTCTTTCTATCTGATTATTTTTTGTTTCGTTTTTACTTATTTGTGTTTTTTTATAGGTAGAAATGCGTTGCATGATGAACCATTTTTCTAGTATATCCTCTATCATTTATTTTGAAAACAAAGATCTCGAATGTCTGTTAAACTAACATAAGTACTACATCTACTTGCAAAACATGATCTATGTCATGTCTTTGTTTTTTTTCTTTAGTCTTCTAATTCAATAAGATTAATTAAAACCAAAAAAAAAAGATAATAGACTAAAATGCCTGATTGAACTCATTTATTTTGTTTTTTTTTGTTCTCAGTAATATGTCAATTATTTTTTTCATTTTACCATCGTTTATGTCAAAAATACTCGACAAAAATCACAGGAAAAGGGAAAAAAATAGACTATATATTTACAAAACGTTGATGAATTGATAAAACAACCGAAATGACGAACAAAATGCATGCACGCACTCACATTCATACGTTAAGAAGTTGTTAGTATGTGTGTGTGTGTGTGTATGTGAATGTAACAAATAAAAAAAGACTATGACTTTTCTAATAATTTGCTCTTGAAAAACTCTCTAATTCAGATATAGATAGATTAGAATAGTCGTATTCATAATCATTCTTTTTTTCTTATTATTATTTCATGTTGATAGTCAATCTAATTGAAACTACTAAGTAGATAACTATCAACGTATAATTATGTTTATAATTGAACGTCTTATCAACTATCTGGGATCTTATTTCATTCTTTTGCTTTTTTTTTTAATCTTGATGAAACCAAAAAAAAAAGAAAATCAACAATAAGTTTATCTATTTAAAAATATATATATATATAGATATTCTTTTCATACAAGAGAACAATATATCAATTTTTTTTTTTTTACTTCTAGTCGAGTATTATTATTGTGTCTCTCACAATTGAACAAAATATATTGTGATAATAAAAAATGACAATGGTTGTATGCATAAAAAAAAAAGATAATCATAAATATTAGTTACTACATTTGAGAAAATTCACTAGAGGAATCTTGCATAGAACAACACTATATTCTTTACTTCCGTTAGAAGGCAACACGCGAATTATGTTGATTAATAATCATCTCTAGATATTAACATGAAGGAAAGACACACATGAAAACAAATATGAAGTCATTGTTTTTTTGTTTTTAATAAAACAAATAGAAAACCGATTGATTGATTAATTTTTTATTTAACAATAGAAAAAACAAAATTTTCAGTTGCATATATGATTATTTATTTAATAAATTTTGAAATAGTTTCTAAACAATAAAAATATAAAGAATAGACAAATTAACAATGGTCTCTATATCTTATTGATATATATATATATATGCATTTTTTAAAAATAGAATAAAAAAGGAAATTTTCTTTTTAATTTCTATAATGATACTTACATTGCAAGCGTATGTCATATATTTGTTAGAAAAATGGTAAGAATAAATTAATATTTACACTTTTTATTTTGAGACACAAAGAAAACTTTGTCAACGAATAATATTATGTATGTAGCTATTAGTTAACAGAAAAAATTTATTGCGTGTCAAATACTTATCTTCCTTGTTTTTCTATTGTAAATCGTAAATCCTAATTGTTTTTTTTTGTTCTTTGTCGAATAAAAGAAGATTATATATCAGTTTCTTACATGAAATACTTATTTATAATAACACAAATAATGTTTACTTTATATTAAAAAAAAAAGAAAATGATGACCTTCTTGAATAAAGTAAAATTCTAGGTAAACTAACTTACCATTTTTCAATCTTTTTTACAATTATTTTCATGTTTACTATCAACTACAATATATATGTATATATAGTTTTATTAATTATTATTTTCTCTCTGTATGATTTCATCTTATCTTTTGGTATTGTTGTCTTCATAAAAAATGTTGATAATAGTCACGAACGTGAGGTATATAATATAAAAGTAAATGAATTGATGTGTATCATCTTCAATAAGTAAAAAGAAAGATAGAGAAAAAAAACAGTTCATTATCATCATAATCATCTACTATTCTTTTCACTGAACTACGTCTTTTTTCTACTTGAAGCAGACAAATGCAGCCTATTGAACGAAGCCTGAATACATGAAGGCTGTCACACGCATACTACTTTTGATAATAATTATGTCAGCGCAGAGGATACAAGAAGAAGCACTGATTATAATAAGAAAAAGATAGAGAGACAACAAACACTACCTGCATGTCAAACATATTCAAATAAAATGTATTTAATTCCTTTTTGCTTTTCTTTCTATAATGCTCAAATTCCTTTTATAATATGACAAGAACAATAAAAATAGATCAATCAAGGTTATTCTAAGCAAGATTCTATAGCAAATAAATATTAAAAAAAAAAAAAAAAAATTGCTAACTTGAAACGTTTTTTGTCATGCTATGGTTTAACCATATGAATTACTGTAGTAGTAAAAAAAAATTATTGATTAAAGAAGCAAACACTTGTCATCAAAAAAGATGAAATATCCTCTAAGGTAATAATTATTTCCCACGATTACTTTCTCATTTTTATTTTCCTTTATTATTTATATTCTTCCTTGGGTCGACATAGTTCGTCTCATGAGTACGTAAATATTATAAGAATTATCAATTTTTTATTTAGTTATTTTTCGTTTCAATAATTATACATGTATTCATCCCGGTGAGATAATTTTATGTACAAACACACACAAAGTATAAAGAAAAAAAAAAACAAACAAAGCTTGTAATATTTTTTTTGTACATCTGACTGACTGAGTTAAGAAAACAAAAACACAAAAGAAATTCGCTCGCATGTTAAGAATTAATTAGACTTCGTTGAATGATATCTATCTGACCCGTTGAAACGCACAAACAAACAAAAAATGAAATAGGGTATTGAAATTTTAAAAATGAACTTCAGTGGGTGTATTATTATTATTAGTGTTTATTCCATTAGGGGTGCCGGCAAGAACATCACGACTAATTTGTTTCATAAGTTCTTGAGTTTTACGACGATTTCGACGGGCCGCATCAGCACGTAAATATGGCGCCTTCTTTAAATCTAAAAAACAAAGAAAAAATTTTTTCACATTATAGTCTATTTTTATATTTCTACAAGATGAAAGTCTTCACTTACCATCTAATAAGGTTTCAATCGTTCCATCTTTTAATGCTTCACGTTTTATTAACTTTTGATCTTTAATCGCTTCTTTTCGACCTTTCAATTCATTTAATAAATCTTCCTAGAAAAAACAGACAAATACAAATCACAAATTAATTTAAAAGAAATAATTATAATAAACCAATTTTATGAAAGCAACGTCAAACAAAATGAAAAATAAAAAAAAAACAAGGGGTTTGTTGAACAGAAAAAAAAAAGTAAATTAGATACCACAAGCGTAAAAAAAAAATGTACTGATTACCTGAAGTGTCAAGTGGTCATTTCCCTACTCGATTTATGTGTTTTGTTTTTATAAATAATAAATTATATAAAAGAATCAATTTTACCTGTGTACGTTTAATTATTTGACGTTTATTTGGTTTATCAAGTGTTGCAGCAGCTTCACGAGCTAAACGTTTTCGTTCTTCATTGTCATGACGTGCTTGCTGAAGAAAAAACAGAAGACATTTTTCATTGAAAAAATATTTTTGTATTTAAATAATAAATATACTTGATATGCTCGATGAAATTTAACAAATATTGAAAAAAAATTTGATGGACTTTGTGTACGTGGTGCTTCACCTTAAATTTAAAAAAAAAGAATAATTTTATCACAATTTTCTTTTTTTTTTACCAAAATATTCTACACATTGATTAAATGAATCTTGTGCTAATTTAACATCATGTACTAAACGATCAATTTTATCTTGAACTATATTAATAAACTCTTCTAATGAACGTATTTCAACATTCTGAAAATAAATAACAAAAAAAAAAAGTTTTCTTTTTTTCTAAATAATGATAATTGAAACACCTTTATTGTTTGTCGTATGATGAGTTCTTTTTTGGCATTATCTAAACCACGTGTTAGATCTTGTACATCAACTTGAACGTTTTCTAATGATACTACAAATATAATTAAAAAAGAATATATCAATGTTTGGAGTTAATACAATCAATCAAAACAAATTATTTGTGGATTTTCTTTTTTTAATTAATAAGTACGATGATTTATGTCAATTTGCACATGACAAAAATATTTATAAGTATAATATTATATGACATAATCAGATAGAAAGGAATTTATTTACAAGTTAGTCCAAAAAATAATTTATCCTTTCTTTTTGTTTTGAAATACTATTTCCGCTCTTCTATATTTTTACAAATTTCATTAAACATGAAATCTGTGCTAACACAATATATTCTTATCGGAGAGCAAGAAAAGCTCTTACTAAGAGTTACCTTTGAGTTGAAATTTAGTAGTAAAGTTATGGAAGGAGAATATTTTCTATGATATTATTAATAGTAAAAATAATTCCATAAATATAAGAGTAATCATAAAATGTTTACAAAACAAAGAATAAAAATATATATAGAAAAATTAGTCCTCTTTCTGTTACGATTCAAGATCTGAGAATTTCTAATATTGAATTTTCCTCTATTGTTAATGATTGATGAATTCTTACATACATCTTTTTTTTCGTAGAGGAAAATACGGATCATGCTATCTGTACTTTGCCCTTCCCTACATAATAATCTAATACAGCAAATACGATTTCATAGAACAAAAATCAAACATGTTAAAATGTCGTTTATAACAATATTAACTATATCATGTTGCATCCTGTAATCCCATAGAGATTTCAGTGAAAATTATATTCTATGAT